ACTGAGACTTGGGGATCAATCACTGATTAGGCAGCCTAAGCAGCAAACCCTAAAGATCTGCATGCCTCTGATTCCCTGTGCTGCCCTATTGCAAGCATGGACCACCACACTGGGATTCTTTTACATGCATTCTGTGGATGAGAACTCATATCCATGGCCCCTTAAGCTGATCTCTGTCAAGTGGCATAGCTGTACCATCAAGGCTGTGGAACTCTAACCCATCTCAGGTCATCCCTGGGAATCTCCTATCTTGGTGTCTCACATCTGAGCGCCACTTCTCCATTCCATATGGAGAAGCTCCAGGCACTCATAGATGGGCCTGTTTTATCATAAGCATCCTTCATAATGAGAACTCCAAAGTTAGAACTCAGAACTTGAATGTAAAAAATGATTATGGCTCAAAACATTGGGTGACCTTAGAAAGGAAAGAACTAGACTATGAAGAACTTGCATTTGATTGGCCTTGACTTTGTCATACCTGTGATCACCTCTCCCATAAGTGGAGAAGGGCAGGGAGATTAGGCTTATCTTAGGTAGCAAAAACAACTTCCCCAGGCCACACATTAAATGACCAGAGAGGTAGAACCTCAACCCAAACATCCTGATGTCTGCTCACTTCTGACCTGTCCCACTACAGATACAGTCTTATGCTGTCTACCTCCCCATGGCTTATGGCTCACTAAACAACATCAGCTGCTTACCAGGAACACCACAAGCTATTATACCAGCCAGCTTGCAGTTCCTATCATTAACACCTGGACCAATCAACTTCTAAAGAGAGAAGGGCCATTTGGGCTCACGGTCTTGAAAGGTTCATCCATGGTCGATTGACCATCAGTCATGCTGCGTGCGGCCTGTTTTCATCCATCATAGCAGAGAATGTAGGGTGAGCAAAGCTATCCATGACAATGGTCACAAAGTGAAAGAGTGTGAGGAGGGAGCTGGGCTTTCTGTTTGGCTTCATGACTTAAAATCTCTACTACTTCCTAACAGCGCCGGCTACAAGGCTCGGGCCCTTGGGGTTCTTTCTATAACATATGTCTCGGCTCTGTCATATGTCTTCATAGTTGAGTGCGCCAAGTTCAGAGACTGATGGATGCCATACCGCTGATGGATGGAGAGAAGGAAAGAAAATGTGGACACTCTGATGTCTCTTCAATTCCCCAGGGCCACACTACTGAGCAAAAAGCTTGGGCGTGTGCCCACATCACGGATGTGGGTCCTTTCTGTTAACTCCATGCAGGACTGTAGTCAATGAATAAGTTCACATTGATCAGAGAGGCATGGGAGAAGGCCCAGGCTTCAAGGCTAATATAGCCTGCACCTATCCTAAGCCAATTAGAAGAGCTATAAGTAGGATCTGAGTTCCAATCTCTCTTTAATCCCCGCCAGCTGTGTGATACTCGGCAAGTTGCTTGACATCTCTGAGTCTTAGTTTTGTTGATTTATTCAACAAAAAGCTCACATGATTGTACCTACTCCAAGCATTTTTACTGCTTCTAAAGTACCAATGAGCATGCATTTCTCAGGTGGGAATAATGACAGGACTGCTACACAGAAGCAGGAAAATTTATGAAAGAAAACCACATGGGCCAGGGCCCAGCAAGCAACGATCAATCCGTATTTGAAGCCTCTGACTCTGGAGCGGGGCTTAGGGCTTCATCAGCCCCCATAGAAGAAGCTGGGTCCCAATGGTGCCGAGTACAAAGAGCAGCTGTCTAAATGTGCATAAACTATTAAGTGTTAGAGTGTTGTGTGCACATCCTCGGATGTGGGCAATGATGTGAGCAAGTCCCTGGGGGTTTAAAAACCTATCCCTTTTTAGTTACTTGAGAAAGAACAAAGTGGTGAAAAGACACCCCTGAGCTTCTCAGGCAGAAGGGAGCTACAGGGTCCTCAGGGCTCCCAGCAGGAGGAAGGAGTGCTAGTCCCAGGGCCGATCCTTTTGCAAGTCCCTGTCACTCCAGAAGAGGTCCTGGGGGCTCCTCTTTGACAACTGAGAAGGAAACCACTGGATGGGAGTGGGAGTGGGGTGGGGATGGGGACGTGGTGAAGTTTATGCAGGCTCGGCCAACAGGCCAGGCACTGTGCTAAGCCTGTTCCCATGGTTACGGTCTTGCCCCCTCTCTAACCAGATAACACAGTGGTTAGGAGCCTGTGCTCTGGTGATTGAGAACGTGTTTGAATCTCCACTGTGGTGCTTATCCGAGTGTGACTGTGGAGACTTTAATTACCCAACCTTGCTGGTATTCAGGGCTTTAAAAATCTTTAAAATGAATATAAAACGGTTTTGCCCCTTGTAGATTTGTTGAGGATTAAATAAGATAAAGTTTCTGGTGCATTTGTTCAGTTACATTTAATTGAGCATCTATGAGACGTGAGGCATTGAGTCAAACCCTAGGGATATAAGGGCAGACTAAACAAGCTGCTACCTTTGCTCCCATGAGGCTTATGGCATAGTAAGACAGACAGGCAGTCAGAAGTGTCCCCTGGACAGATGTTCAGAAGGATAATGGAAGAGAAGACAGGCTTCCTGGAAGAAGTGGTCGGTCTTCAAGAAGAGGCCTAAAGGAAACAGGTGAAAAGTAGATGAGGGTGAACAAACATTTTCTGTGACGTCTAGATGGTGAATGCTCAGTCTTTGCAGGTGCCTTAGCATTACGCTGCAACTCTGCCCTTGTGAATGAAAGCTCTCACAGACTACACCTAAGTGAATGGACCAAGCTGTGTGCCAATAAATCTTTATTTGCAGAAACAGACAGTGGGCCAAATTATAAGCCATAGTTTGCCATCCCCTGACCTAGCTAAAAGAGAGTTGGAATCAGGAGGTCATGTGGCAGGGGAATTCTAGACAAGGAATGGCACATGCAAAGACTCTGGCAAGGAGTGACTGGAGGAAATCCTAGGGAGCGGGCCTATGGGGCCTTGTAGGTCTGACAGGTTGTGGTGTGGCTTCTTGTCTCCGTCTTTAAACCAAAATGGGAAAAAATGCAGGGTTTCTAAGCAGAGGCTGCTGTGACTCTAGGTGTCAATTCTGGAGACATGGCTGGTGGCTGTCTTGTAAGGACCAGAACAGAGAAGCCCAGAGTGTCTTCCAGTCCTCAAAAGGTTCATCAGGAGTGTGGAGGCTCACAGAGTCCTGTGGTCACAGCATTAGGTGACAGCACAATTGGGTCTCCTGACTCCAAGTGACATTCTGTCAGTTCTGAGAAGTGAGGTGCTAAGCAAGGCCCTTGGGATGAGGACAGAGCAAGGGCAGGAAGTTCCACAGATGCCAGTGGTCAGGCCCCTGGACAACTACTTCCTGTAGTGACCAGCTTGCTCATGATGACTGAGGGCCACATGGAAGGCCAAGTCCCAGTACCTGATGTGCATTCAACTACAGTCGTGGCTTCTCAAAGGGCTGTGGAGAGCTCCCAGCCAAGCCATGGAGCCCATCCGAGGTGTTAAGTGTAGTTCAGCTCCTGGAGGACAGGCCTCAGAATCAGCTGTCCTGCCAGAAACAAGAAGCAACAGCCCGCTACAAGAAAGAAACATACGCTTGGATCGTTTAATAGATCCCTTTACAAATGGTGAAGAAATGCAGCAAGTGGCCAGCACCCTGCAGTAATCCTGGGGCAGCGGTAGACAGACAGCATGGTGTCTAACCAGCTTCCTAACGACAATGCCTCACGTAAGGTAAAACCCACTCAGAAGACAACCGAAGAACCGGAGCTCCCTTAGGGGGGAAATAATACCTTTGAATGCATAATTGAGACCTGCAAAATTCAATACCCAAGGGAACAAGAAAATTATTAATTTATATTGATCTGTATCCCTAGGGGCTTTGGGGGTAAATAATACTTCCTATGCATGGGTAATTCCACCCCATGTTAGTTATAGTTGCCTACATTTTCATGTTTGACTAAGCATCTCCATCAAAAAATGTTTCTTTCAATAGCCTTGGAATCAGTATTTAGAAAGACTACACATTTTTATTCATTTATTTATTTTAAATTTGAAATGGCAGTCTCACTACATAGCCCAGGCTAGCCTTGAACTTACTATGTAGTCCAGGATAGCCCTTGAGCTATTTGTTTTCACAGCTGTGGTCACTATCAAGCATTATCTGGGTCTTATTTAGCATCCTCATTTTTCAACTTATCCATTCTGTGACTTGGATACATTGACTTACCAGGGCTTGAATTTGTTTTCTGATAGAGTGAGCTGAGACTGCTATGCACCTGAATGCCCAGCCTGGCACCTGGTGGCAGAGCTGGCATCTGTTGCATGGTAAAGCCAGCTTGCTCCAGCCCATTGCCATGTCTTCCTGGCTCTGTGCTCTGTATGGAACACGACCCTACCTGAGAATGTTTACACCACAGATCTGGGCAGCAGCTAGGAACTGAGGGCTCTTTTTCCAAGAAAGCTGGTCTTGAGACACCTCCTCACTGGCACGGGTGTGCCCTCATCACTGTGGATGTCTGTGCCCTCGTCATTCCCTGGGTCCTGATTGTCACGCGGCTGTTCTGTATGTCCTGCAATAATCCAGCCAAGTGTCAGAAAAGTTTGCACTACCACCACAGCCCAGACTGTCGGTCCCATCCCTTGACTTCCTGACTAAGTCTCTCAAGGTGGTGCTGCTGCCTGAAAACCGAAGTTGGTGGCACAGGGCTAATCTGTCTAATAAGCTAAGATCCCAGTGTGGCACTCTTTGGAGAACACAGAAGAGACTCTGCCTCCTGCCCCCAACAAGGACACTCTAATGGGTACTGACTAACACAGTACTGAACTGAACTGAAAATCCCTTTGGGGCAGCAAATGCTATTTTCATCCCCATCTTACAGATGGCAAAATAGACTCCAAGGGATAAGTAACTTACACGAGGTCATGCCATTCATAAGCATAGAAGGCAGGTTAAAAGAGAGTCCCCCAATGCTGGGGCTATGGCCTGGATGGTGCAGATGGTGCTATGCTCAAGGGCCAGAAGGTGGCTGAAATCCAGCATCAGCTCTGCATGCCCAGCTGTGCACAGGCTGGACCACATCAGTCCAGGTGACGGGGGTGGGGGGGTGGGGGGTGTCTTCATCCCTGAGTTAAGATACTATAAAATAAGGGCTAGATGCACGCTTTCTCTCTCACCCTTCTCTGCTATCCCAGGACCTCTAAAATGGTTAAAAAAAAAAAAAAAAAAAAAAAAGCAGGGCAAGCAGGACAAACAAGAGGCAGAGGTGTGAGCTGAAGTGAGCTGATCACATGGTTTGCCCTGGGCATGTGAGCAAACCAGCTGTGTCTTCGGAAGGCTTGGGGGGCAGGTGCCAGTGAGGTGGAGCAAGGGGGGCAGGTGCCAGTGAGGTGGAGCAAGCGGATTTGGCTTCAGCTAAAGGTTCAAATCTTGTGATAAGAGAGTGACATCTCCTGCCGCCTCTGCACATGTGTGACATGGATGGTGCCCAGGAGGTGGGGCAATTAGCCTGTATCCCAGGGCACCTGGCTCTACCACCTCTCCCCTTCCCACTGTCTTAATGCAATTAGATTGTTCTGGCTAATAGCTGCCAAGCTACTTTGTTGGAGCTGATGGGTCTATTAATTTCTTGAGGCTAATATGGGGGTGGGTGGGAGACTCATTTCTTGACTGGATCTCAGGGGCTAATTAGTCTATTTGCCTGGTCCCCAGAGGTGAAGACTTGGAGGATGCATTGCTGAGGCTGTCAGATATGGCTATGGAAAAATCCTTTCTACCCATGGCTGTTGCAGGAGCCTAGCTTGTTGCTTGAGTGAGTCTGAGGAGCTGGGGCTGCTTTGAGTGGGTGGCCTTGCTGGTGTGAAGTGTAAGCCCAGGGGGACAGTAGGATGCTAAGAAATTTAGTCTTGTCCCAAACATCCAAATGCTGGTATCCAGCACACTTGGTTTTATGTTCCTCCTGCTCAAGTAGAGTTCATCCTGGCCTAGAGGATCACCGGGAGTGAATTCTACACATTTTGAAAGAAAACAGCTTCTGGGAGGTGAGATTTCTACTAGATTTATGGAGTGTCAGGACCAGAGAGAAGAAAGTTACCCTCCAAAGTTCGTACTGTGTTGCTGAGGGCTCTTGAGTCCACTTCCTGGTTAGTCTGGTTTGCTCAGATTAAAACAACAGCAACAACAACAACAACACCATAGTAATGTCCTCACTCTAAAAGGCATCAACAAAGTTGGGAAAGATCAAAGATTGAGGATCTGGCTCTAGATTCGAACCTGTGCTGCAGCTACCAGCTGTGACCCTAGGAGATGAGCCATTAAACCCATCTGAGCATGTTTCTTCATTAATAAATAGAAACACCACGATGCCTCCAAAGTATGATGGGAGAATTCCAAGTGATAGAAGAGTGTCTGGGACACAACAGGTGTCCTGTAATTATTACTCACCCCCACCCCCTCTGTTTGGAAATCTCACAGCATAACTTCCAACCTCCCAGCCTTGTCCCTGCAGAGAGAAGAGGGAGGGGGAATACCAGGCAATGATGTCACCGACAGGTCCCTTTGAGAAGCAATAGGAGTCCTAGAAGCCATGGGGGAGCCCATCAGTGTTCTGCCTGTGCTTGGCCAGCAAGAGCAAAGTGCTGATAGGAGCTAGCGGCTTTCTCTGCTTCCGTGGCCAGCAGCAAGGTGCTGAAGTCTGAGCACACAGAAGGTTATTTGGGGGAGACACACCAGGAGGCGAAAATGTACCTAAAGTGTTCAGGAAGCAGGGCTCTGCAGGCTTCTGGGGAAGATTCATCTAGGGTTTAGAAGCGCAGGGCTTAGGAGGCAGACCTCTCAGCTGGTGGCTGTGGGCTCTCAGACAAGCTGGGTAGGATCTCTTATTGTATATAAAACAAAGCACAGTGTGCATAGAACTGTTGTGCTATTGCAGAGGTGGATAAAGCTGTTTCTCTGTTGGTATCCTTCCAGGGGTATGGAAGGGAGCTTTTGATTATCTATTCTTTGCCACCAGTAAGGCTCACCTGTCATGACCCATGGGTTCATGCATGGTCCTGGAGGACTACCAGCTGGTGGTCTGAGGTGGCCCTGGTTGGACCTGCCCTCTGCATGCTCCATCATCTCCAAAGCATAAAGTCAAGTTGTTGGCATCTCTTCACTGTGACTCTGAGCCCTTTTGTTCCATGGGGTAAGGATGAGGCCAAGGGAGAGCTAAGTCTTCCCTGTTGTTGGAGCATCTGAAAACCTAGCTTCAGGGACAAAGCAACAGGACCACTACAGGGTTCCTGGGGGTTTTCCCAGGAAGCTGCTGGTGGTGCCTAGGAGAGGTGGCTACATGCATCTCTGGGTATGCAGGCAAACATCCACTGTCTTTCATGGGTGCCAAGCCAGTTACTTGGCAACAGAAGTGACTTGTCTGGGGTCTAGCCAGCAAAATTATATCAGGATCAAACATATGTGTATTGTATACGTATGCATTATTTATAGGTGTTATGTAATATAAGGTCTGTTATAAACAGTGTTCCATTGGACCCCTTAGAGATTGTCAGGATGATGGAATAGTCCACAGTAATATGTTGTGTACTCAAAAATTGGTTAAGAGACCATGATGGTTCATGCCAGCACTTGCAATGTTAAGGCAGGGAGATTACCATGAGTTTGAAGCCAGGCAAACTTGATTAAGAGGGTATATCTTATTTGTGCATATATATATGTAGTGTATACATGTGTATATTTGTGTGTGTGTGTGTATGTATGTATGTATGTATGTATGTATGTATGTATGTATGTATGTATGTATGTGTTCACCGGTATGTGTGGGTATGTGCACACATGGAGGCCAGGTGTCCACTCAGGGTGTCCTCTGCTAGCTCTCTTCACCTTAGTTTTTGATACAGGGATTCTCACTGAACCTGGGACTTTCCAATTTGTCTTGACTGACGGGCCAGCAAGTCTCTGAGATTCTCCAACCTCAGCCTTCCTAGGGCTATGATAAAAGGCGCACACCACTGTGCCTGGCTTTTTATATTTTAACATGGATGTTGGGGCTGCAGACTCAGAGCCTCATGCATGCCCAGCAAATATTTTAGCAATAGGGCCATTTCTCCAGCCCTCTATGCAAATATTTTATTTAAAACATAATAAGATAAAAATAAAACAAAGGCAATTTAAAAACACAGTAAAGAAGTAGAAGGGGAAAACAACATTTATGGGGTGCCAGGTTAAATCCATCCTTACCGCCAGAAGTTTCTGTCATGATTCCCACTGGACACAGAAGGAAGCATGCTTAGGGCACTCAGAAACAGCACTGAGGTTGCACATGAGTTTTATACTCCTGGTTAGAGTGGGGTCTGTAGTGTCAAACTGGTTCTACAAGATCGGTGGGTTCTGGAAGGAAGAGGGACATTTCCATTCCCATTCCTAGCTGGAAAAGCCAAGGGCGTAGATGGAGCCTCACAGTGAGGTAGTGGATTAAGGAGACTGGGGCTTGACTCTTCCCCCTTCTGACTTGTTCACTCGGCCATATGTTTAGTCATTCAATAAGCACGTCGATTTCTGCTCCTTTAGAAATGTGATCTCATTTGGGCTTCCCGGTGCCAAGGATTGAAACCAGGGCATCTGTCATGCCAAGGCGAGAACTCTACCACTGGGCTACATTCTGAGCTTTCAGCAATCACTCATTAGCGGCCCAGTGCTTCCCAGTTCCTTCTCATCTTGTATCTATCCTCCCAATTACATTTTTGTTTGTTTGTTTGTTAAGATAGGGTCTCATTATGTAGCCCCGGCTATCCTCAGACTCACCCAGGTAGCCCAGGTTAACTTCAAACTTACAGCCATCCTTCTGCCTGGCCCTTGCAAGTGCAGACATGAGCCACCATGCTCTCTTAGCCGATTTTAAGTGTACAAGTATGCGTGCCGCCATTCTTATTCTCCCCTAGATAACTGGGTTTGCTGAAGGCAGGCCAAAGCCAAAGAGCCTCGTGGCTCTGCCCCACTTGAAAATAACACAATTCCCCGTTTCCCCTCCCCTTCCTCTGACAGAGCTTCTCTGCGCCATGCTACAGTCCTAATGCATTTCTCCACCCCCTCTCACCTCTTCCAAGTCTTTGATTCTTCCTTTCCTCACTCTGACATCCTCCTTCCCTCAAGACCCTCAAGCCTGTGTCATGTGCTCCAGTTCCAGTCTAGCCTATGGCTCCTCCACACCCTCCCATCCTTCCCTCCTGGGATTAACCCACAGCAGAGCACTGTCCTCTGCTGCTCTCAAGTCCGGCCACCTGCAGCCCACTCTGTCCCTTCCCCAAGTCTTCCCATCCTCTCCCCTTGGTCTCCTCAGATCGGCCAGTGGCACGTGGCAGAGGGCCTCAGCATGGACAGCCGCCTCTACGCCTCCAACATCTCCGACAGTCTTTTCAACACCACCCTGGTCGTCACCACCATCCTGGTAAGCGGGGTTTCTCGGGCCTCCAGCTGCAGCTCCCGAGGGTGCCTCCTCCCCAGGCTCTTGCTCTCGGGCTTCCCAGGGAACAGAAGATGGGAATGCTAATCACAGCACAGAGGCCAATTTATGTCAGTGTAATTGTACTCCAGTTGCGTTTCGTTTCGTATGGAAATGATATCTGCTGAGCTGCTGAGCAGCTGGGGCAGGGGGAGAGCGTCCACAGTGTGTGGATGCCTCTCCGGGGGGATCTGGGTGGTTAGGAAAGCTGTGTAGAAACCCTAGAGATGGCACCTTCTGACACAGAGGGAACCAGCTGGATCCAGTCTGAGATGATCCCCCCTTTCCAAGCTTTCCTTGGTATCTGCTGGGTACAGAATCAGCCCCTCCCCTGTTACACCCTCCAGTGGACATCTTAATGTCTGTGGGTTGCTGTGGCCTTTTCCTTCACTTCCAGATGGTGACAAGAGAGTTCTCAATGAACCCCTGAGTCAAGAGACCATCTGCCTCTCTACTTGATTCATTTCTATTCAGTAATTACAAGTCTACCTCCCAGCCCTGCCCCCTGACGTGTGTCTGGCACTGTGCTCACTCATAAAAACCAAAGATGAGTACAGATTGGTCTGTATCTTCAAACAAGTTATCAGTGAGCAGACAGGCTAAGTCGACTACCCATGGCCAAGGTGTTGCCATCACCTGAAGACTTCATGTTTCGAAAGATCTGTCAATTAAGCCAACTAAATGTTAAGCAATAAGTACTTTGTTCCTCCTCACTCTGATTTTAACTAATCAAAAAGGTATTTCCCCACCCCACACCACACCACATCTCACCAGGGAGAGAGAGCTAGCAGAGTCACACTGATATTCTTTCAGCCCAGAGCAGAGGCAATGTATAGGCTAGCTGCACAGTCTAGCCTCTACTAGACAACTTACAAGGTCTGCAAGCATGCCTATTTCTCTTAGGCTTTTTGGATAAAATAAAAGAGCCTATAGACCTCCATTATGGCCTTCAGGAACTCCGGAGGCCCAGGAAGCCTGGGTTGGGATTGCTGATCTATTATAAACAGAGTGGGCTAAAAGCTAAGAGAGAGGTGGGAAGTTAGAACCCTGAGGTGTGGAGGAAAAAGCCAGGGGGAGAGCAGCGAAGCCTGAAACAGCAACATTTGTGATGGACTCTGAAAGACAGGAAACAGTTACAGAGAGCAGGAAGAGGGAAGGAAGGCCAGTACTGTTAATGCTTAGAAAATGCTGGAAAGCATGGGCTTCCCTGAAAATGGGCAATGGTTGGGAAAGCGAGAGCATAACCCATAATCATCACCCACAGTGCTTAGGATCTTGTATCCTAGGCTACTCATTATTCTATTCACTTGGAGATGGGCCACTGAATGTTTTTGTTTGTTCATCCAAGGAGTATTTATTGGGCATTTCTATATGCTTGGCACTCTTCAAGGTACTCAGGAAACATCAATGACACGAAACACAAAAATCCCTGTCAGGAGCTCCCGTTTCAGTATGGAATGCGAGGCAGTAATACAAGGTCAACAAAGACTGAGTCTCCATTATTTGAAGTGCTTCAAACCCAAAATATTTCAATTTCAGGTGATTTTTCAGGTTTGGGAATATTTTCATAGACGTTGCTAGTCGAACATCCCTAATGAGAAATTCTAGACCCTGGAACACCTGGCAGCATCCTGACAGCACTCACGATGTTTCCGATTCTGAAGTAGCTCAGGTGTGGCGTTTGGGTTAGGGCTGTCTAACCTCTGGTCAAGCCCATGTGTGGCTTAGGAGGGAGGCTGGGAGCAACAAGGCAGGGTCAGTTCCCAGATGGTCAGCCCTGGCCTCCTTAAGGAGGTGGAGTCTGAGGCAAAGGGGAGGGGCTGCCCACTGTTGCCTGGAAACAGCGGAAGTGAAGGGAAGCAAAGCAGATCCAGGCTCCCAGGTTTCAGGCTCTCCTGCTCCCAGCTCCTGCTCTGCTCACCTGGGCCTCTTAGAATGTCAGGAAGATGAGAGGGAGGTGCTGTCCCCTATCCAGCTGAGAACTGGGGACGACCTGACTAAGCTGTGTTAGTGGAGGGATACCACACAGGGTATGATGGTGGTGGAGCCCTCCTTCCAGATGTCTTTTCTACTCTTCAGTCTCTCCCCTCCCATGAGCCTCATCTCCCATGCCCTGGTCCAGAGTTCAGTCCCCTCATGGGCCTCTTTGTCCCTTGTTGCCCCCGGGGTCCTCCCAGGCTCCCTTCCCTCTCACTATGTTTATCTACCGACTGCATTCAGAATAGTCCTGTCCTGCCTTCCTGACATCCCATAGTCCCTTGGTTTGGGCTCTAGACCCTTCACACACGGGAATAACCAAGTACCTCTCCATACAGCCTTGGGGCCCAGGATTCCTCACTGCTCCCCATGATGGTATGTTCTTCCCTCCCCTCCAAATGCCTTTCCTCAGCTCAAAGGTCATCTTCTCTCTGGAGTCTCCTCTTGGTTGACGCCTGCCTTTTCTGTCCCTGACTCTTTCCATACCCCTCTGACCAAACACATTTTCTCATAGTTATTTGACTCCCCATATCCCCTCTATGAATGGGAGTACTTCAGATATTGGGGTGCCTGATACAATTAGGAACTTAATCATTAGAGTCTGAATGTGGGAATACCTCTGAATAGAATTCCAGGAAGGAATTTTGAGAAATTCTTTCAAAGCTAAGAAAAGTTGGGGCAGGAGACAAAGAACCTGCTAGGCTGTGTGTCTTGCTTCCCCACATCTGGAATCTGACTATCCTAGAGGCTTCTGCTGTATTGAAGCCAGAAAATCATGTTCTCAGATGGGGAAATTGCTCTGGTGTGTGTGTGTGTGTGTGTGTGTGTGTGTGTGTGTGTGTGTGTGTGTGTGCCTGTGTACCTGTATATATGTATGCCTGTGTATGTATGTGTGTGCCTGTGTATATGTATGCCTGTGTATGTGTATGCCTGTGTATATGTATGCCTGTGTATATGTATGCCTGTGTATATGTATGCCTGTGTATGTGCGTGTATGCCTGTATATGTGTGTGTGCCTGTGTATGTATGTGTGCATGCCTGTGCATATGCATGTGTGTGCCTGTGTGTGTGTGTGTGTGTACCAGTGTATGTGTGTCCATATCAAGGAGTTCTTGAGAAGCCGGGTGCTGGCAGGATACTCCTGTGTGAGGCTAGTTCAAAGGAAGCCACAGTCAGCATCAGTTCATTTCCTGTGCACATGGGGCTGGGGTGGCCCTATCCAAACCAGAAACTCTTCCTAGGAGCAAAGGTCCTAATTCAAGCCCTATGTGACCATTCACAAACGCCCCCTGTGAATGGTGATCCTGAGCGATTTATCCCTGAAATTTGGGACATAACCACCTTGTCTCACTCCTGCCTGGGACCCTTGGGATTAGCCCCAGCTCCATCTTCAGAACGCATTTTCTGTGCTGGTTCCCCAGTTAACACACAGCTAGCTGTATTGTCACCCCCAGTTTCTCCCAGCACTCCTGCTGACGACATGCCAGCATTCAGCGCCCCTCATTTTCCGGAGTGCCAATGAGCCCCGGGACTGCTGATACTTTGGCTGTCCAACATCTCCCTCCCCTCCAAGAGCAGCCTTGGGAACATTTACTTTGAGCATGGCAGTGGGTTTCAAAAGAACTTGAGAGTGGAGGACAAGAAAGGGAGAATTGTATGACATTCCTTAGAAGAATTAAAAAGTACTCTGGTGCTAGAGCAGAAACCCCCAGCCACGTGCTGTCCACGAGGCCGAAGGCCCTTCTCACCCTTTAATCAGCATATGGGAGGGGGTGATAATGAGGTCAGGGACGGCTTCAGGCCCCACTCATACCACAACCAAGAGCGGCACAGCCTCACAGCCTGCTCATCTGTGTGAGGAGGAAGCATATAGTGGTTTTCACAGGCACCTGAGCATGGGGATAATTCTAAGAAGTGCCTTTTGTCAGAAGCCATGCGACTCCGAGGTCACGATGAGTTAGAGTTGACAGAAGATGGAATGGAGATGAGTGGGGCGTGGAGAGGCTCCTGAGCTGAGGACAGCCTATGTGGTAGGCAAGGGGACTCGCTTGTCTCATTGCCAAGACTTGATCACAAGTCGAGCCCCACACCACCTTCCAACCCAGAGTTCACACTCTAACATAACCTGCTGCTCTTGTGACATTCCCTCTTCATGATGCTCAAAGCTGCTCTCCCCATCTCAGGGTCTCTGGTCTGCCTGACCCCCCCCCCCCCCCCCCGCCTGTGTAGAAGCTCCCTCTGGATGAGCACAGCAGCTCAGCATCGAGGCACATCCTTCTGCTGTGATGCTCAGCTGTTTCTGGGGTGGGGCCCCCATAATCCTTGTGTGCCTCTTGGGTGCTCCCTGTCACACCCAACCCCTGTGCATTTTTGCAAAGACCCACATGCAGCACACACATTGAGCCTTTATTCCTACCTGCCTCTGCCTCTGGCACAACTCAGGCTGGCACTGGCTGGAACCGGTTTGCCTCTTCTCTGTATCTGCATCTGCACCATTTCCCAGATCTCTTCCCAGCCTTGTCTCCACCCACTGCTTCCTGGAATCTGGGTCCACAGGTGAGCCCACCCCACTCCCACCCTTATTCTGCCTTCTCCAACCTCCCACTGCATCTCCATCTGCCTCCTCCAATTGCAGGAATTCCTTCTCACTCGTCTGTCATCGCATGCATCCTGTCCCTTCCCATCTTAAAAGGAGGCTGTCGTCAGACTAGCTAACTGTCATCCAACAGGGCATTACAGATGGCACACTCTTGGGGACCCTCCCACCCTGTTCATTGTGGAGAAGAACTGCAGCTTGGAGGGGAGGTGTGTCTTTGGGCTAGAGAGGCCCCTTGTGAGGCTACCCTGGTACGTTCACCCCCCCAGCTTCTTCAGTTGGTCCCTACATTTCCCCTAAGTACGTATGCCCCAATTCTTGCAGCCCCACAAACCTTCCATGCCTGCTTGGAAAAGTCTTGAGACCATGACCCAGCAGTATCTCATAGCCCTGCTCCGTCTCTGGGTGGGAAGGGCCATATTCTTCTTCTTCTTCAGGCTCCTTCTCCTGGACTTTCAGACCCTGCAATCCTCCTTTTCTGCCTCTGGTTGCTGGTGCTATTATGCTACGTGGCTACTCTTTCTAGTCTAAGATTAGGGTTCCCTTGAGGATGTGGTCCTCCTTAACTCTTAGCCAGTCCTGAATCAGTTCTTCCCCATGGTGCCCCATTTCTCCATGCCTCCAAGCCCCTGCCTGGTCTTGCCCTCATCAACATGTTTAATCTCATTGTCCCCTCCCCCCATAGACTGCCATCATCTCAAACCCAGTATGCCCTAGGTCTTCCTTCCTGCCCAGCCATCCATGACCAGTGTGACATCATCATCTTTCCTGCCCAGCCATCCATGGCCAATGTGACGTCATCATCAATCATCTATCCCAATAGCAAGGATCTTAGGACCCCTGCCCTCTGCACCTGACACACATCCAGGCATTGTGCTGACCGTCCTATGACTCTACATTCTTCCGTCTCTCTCCAGTCTAGCCCAAGCCACATGTGCTCAGGATCCTGTCACGTATCAAGAGAGAACCTGTCCCTGCTCTGAGTGTTCTTTGTCAGCACATTTATTCTTTACTCAGTCTTATGTCTCCAAAACCCAAGATGCTCCTCCATTACGTCTCATCTGACATACAATAGCCTCATCCCAGCATCCAGACCCACATTTAGCCTCGTTCATCTCTCTAGCTCTCTTCTTACCCCTTCCAGCACAACCCATGTGCCAAGTACATCGGAGATGCCCAATGGTCCACACCCCTTCTCGGGTGGATTTGAGTCTGAACATGCCTTTCCCTAGCCCCTAATGGCCCAGTCTCTACATTTTTGTCTGCCAGTGTTTCCACATCTGTCTGTCAAGAGCCCAGTGTGGGTCTCCCTTCTCTGTGTCACTTTCTCTAGACATCTCACCAGAGTGGCCTGCCTTGCGTACAGTTATTTGTTTATGTGCACAGTCTTTTTAAACTTTTAAATGGGGTCTCACTGTGTAGACAGGTGGACCTTAGCCTCACGGAGATCTGCCTGGCTCTGCCTCTTGAGTGCTAGAGGCATATGCAGGATGCTTGGTTTTTCTTTTAGAATAATGCATACCTTGTTATGACTTTATTTTGCTAAGTTTTAGATACTTGGAAGTGTTTGTTATACTTATCAATGTAGATTGGTTGTCTATACTAATGTGTTAGACTCTTTTATATCCATGCATGCATACATCATGTTTGACCAAGTCTGCTCCCTTCCACCTCCCCTGTGCTCTCTTTTCCTGGCTGCCCTGGTCAAATTTTAGATTTCTTTTTATTTATCGTTTTCCAATTTTGACAAAACAACAGCAACAAAACATGTGACCCATTTCTTTCTGAATTGGAGTTATATCTTAACATGATAACCTCAAGGTCCAGCTTTTTTTGTTTCACAAATGACATGAATTCACTCTGCTTTATGGCTAAATAATACTCCTATGTGCGCATCATATTTTTAAACCCATTTGCCATGTCTATATTCTTACTTAGCCTACTAAGAAGTATTTGTGTATTCCTCAGCCATAGGTCTGTGAAGAAAAGGCAAAATGAGAGGGGGAAGGGAAGGCCAGATGATGGCTTCCAGTAGTGTAAAGGGTTTCACCTTGGCCTTCTGTGCCGTGGGACTCATGTGCGTTCCTGATAAGAGAATGCCCTTGAAGGAACACCTTGGGGAGTGGGGGGAGGACAGCAACTAACCCCCACCTGGAAGGCAGCCTCTTACCAAGCTACATCCCTCTTCCTGTGCCATCGAGTCCCTGACCTCCTGTGCCCAACCCCCCCCCCCATCCCACATGGCTGCCACGCCAGGCCTAAGATGAGAATGACAGCTGCCCAGTTTTGCTGCAGGAAAACCCGTACTTAATGCTGAAGGGGAACCACCAGGAGATGGAAGGCAATGACCGCTACGAGGGCTTCTGTGTGGACATGCTCAAGGAGTTGGCTGAGATCCTCCGCTTCAACTACAAGATCCGCCTCGTCGGGGATGGTGTCTACGGCGTGCCTGAGGCCAACGGCACCTGGACGGGCATGGTTGGGGAGCTGATTGCTCGGGTAAGGAGTCCAGCGGTGTGTACTTGTGCGGGGGTGGGAGGGTGATGGAGGCATGGTATGTTTTCCCGGCCTCACTTGCTTGCTCCATCACTCTCAGACTTGTCTATCAATTCCAGGGCGCTTTGGTGAGCTGGCATGGAGCCAGGAACACTGGTCCTATGCTTTGACGACCATGACTGGTGTGATTCCTGCCCCAGGCTTCTCCCCAGCCGGCAGTGGAGCAAGTTAGAGTTGGACTTTGGGTTCTATTTTTAGATAATTCCTGTGCTTTATTTGTTGCTCTGAGGGCTTGGTTGTTCATTGTCAATGCTTGGACAGGCCCTGAGAGAGCAGAGGACCCCTATACCAGCTGCTGTTGATGTGTGGGAGATGTGGTAATACCTGGAGCTAAGGCTGAAGTGTCAGTGGTGTGGGTCACAGTGCTGGCTAATTTGTTATTTCTTGTGTTATTTCCCCATCGTTAATGTCCGTTTACAGACCCAGAGCCAGGGTGTACCTGCATGTATTGTTGGCTCTCAGGGTAAATGTGTGAGTTGATTGGAATTCAGGTGAGCATCATAGAATGCCAGTCTTCTGTCAGGTTAAGGCAAGGGCACAGGAAGTTCTTCTGTGGAAAAAAAATCTTCTTTTCCTTGTATACACTATCAACAGCGGTAAAAGTGAATGAAATCGATGCTAATTCACTGTCCGTGTCTCTACAGTTGAATTTTAATGGCCAGGACAGGTGGAGAGGACGGAACGCAAAGAGCATAGGTTTGATCCTTACATGAGCTTGAACTCTCATTTCCTCTCGGTGCCTTCATCCCATGACTTCCCAGCATGCACTCATGGTCCAGGGGCTCTCCGTGCAGCATCTCCGGTCTCCTGGGGATATTTCCACTACTTGCTGTCCCCACTTCACATATGAGCAGTCTGAAGCTTGGAGAGCTTAGTGGCATGTATCAAACATCACGCTGTATTAGTTAGTGCTGGGGTTCGAGCCCAGACCCCTTTTTTCATTGAATGGTAATCATGTGCTGCCCAGAAGTGTTGCCATCTGCGAGGATGGCCCAGTAAGGTTATACTGCCTGGTGATATCGTAGCTGTCTTACTTTACACACTACATATGATGGTGGTCTCATAAGATTATATTGACTAGTGACGTCATAGGTCTCTGTGATGTTTATACCATGACAAAAATCACCTAACAACTTATTTTTCAGAACAGCCATCTCCAAGATAAGTCCCATATGACTATAATAAGACTTTAATCCTTTCTATGTGCCAAACTTAAGATATAAGATAACATTTTTCTAATCCCTGTCTTTGAGACTATAAATACTACTTAGATTGTTGAAGCAGTATTTCCTGTCAATGACTACAAAGAGTTCTGTGTAAGTGAGAGCTGCGGAAGAGGTATTTAAAGAGCTAATGAGGGAGATTGCTGAGGGCCAGGCCAGGAAGCATAGACAGTGTCTTCAATGCCCCAGCAGGGGAAACCTCAAGCAGGGAATTGTGAGGCACCCAGAGGTCCCAGGGTTCAGAGTGAGCCTGTTCAAAAGTAAGGGCTTGCTCCCAGCTTAAGGCTGGGGATGGAAAGCCAGTGGGTCACCAGAAGCTTCAGCAAGGTCCCAGGATGTGGTGGTGTGAATGAGAATGGCCCCCATTGGCTCACATGCTTGAATACTTGGTTCCCAGTTGGTGGACCTGTTTGGAGAGGATTAGAAGGTGTGGCTTTGTTGGATGAGATGTGTCACTGGGCTGGGGTTTGAGGTTTCAAAAGCCCACACCATTCCCAGTCAGCTGTCTCTCTGTCTCATGTTTGTGGATCTGATATGAGCTCTCAGCTATTGCCTCAGCACCATGCCTGCCTGCCAGCTGCCATGCTCCCTGCCATGATGGTGATGGAGTTTAACCCTCTGGAGCCACTAACCAGGATTAAAACTTCCTTCTATAAATTGCCTTGGTCATGGTGTCTCCTCACAGAAATAGAAAAGTAACGAAGACACCAGGATCTTAGAGGTATAGACCCACCCCGTGCAGATGCTGAAAGGCAATGGTGCTTTGCTCAATAGTTCCAGACCCTCTCTGGAACACTCATCTTGGGTCTTCCCCATCAAGGCTTAACTTGGCCGTTGGCCCACAGAAGTCTGAAATGTCAAGCCTTTCCTTTGCCTCTCATCAGTGTCCTTGGTCACCTTGAGCCCAGCTCTCTAGCCTCCATAGGCTGCCTTGTGTCTGGCAGGAAGACTTCGGGGATGGAGGAGTCGCTTTACAGCCTTCTCCTTATTAGCCCCCTAATGAGCTGTGACATGGGCTGGCAGAGTGGGAGAAGATCCTGGCACTCAAGGACATGCATCTCCATACTGAGTAACTCGGGCAGTCAGGCGGGGATCTCCAAATTCACCCCAGCTTCTCTTCCAACAAAAACAGGGCTGCGTTGATCTCATCAAAACGTGGGGACATCACACTATGTTAGTAGTCCATGAACTCAATGGCCATTTACGTAATACTGTCCACTCTTCTAGACACAGGAAGTACAGGAGACAGCATAAGCATGGACTCTGGCTGCACAACTCCTATAACCAGGGAGTGAGGCAGAAAGTCATGACTGCATATAGATTGCATACGATTGTGAACTACAGTAAGCTCCAGGGAGGCAGAGTACAGAATTATGGGAGAGTATCTAAAGAGAATGGGTCTGGTCTAGAGAGGTGGAGACCCTGATGAGTGCTAGCTTCCCTGAGGAGATGTCTGGACTACCCCCTTGGAGAATGAGTAGTAACTTCTAGCTAAGAAAGAAAGCTTTTCATGTGAAAAGGTGTCTGGATGCCACTGGGGCTGACCCTGGGTGATGCCAGACCTCACCTTCCCCAGGTTCTACCAAGATACAGGCGATCTAGGCCCAGGTCCATCCTCCAAGAGCTTTCCCCCAAGCAGTATCAAAACAGGCCAGTACAACAGTGCCCCTCATGATACTGTTGGGGCCCC